TAGTAAAACTCACCTGGAAAAAAATTCAAATAAATAAACCAGAAATGAAAAAGATGTTACAACTGACATCACAGAAATAGAAAGGATCTTAAGAGACTGCTGTGAACAATTACATTCCAACAACTAGACAAGCTAGAAGAAATTAATTCCTTAAAACACAGAACTGAATAATGATGAAATAGAAAATCTGAATACACCAATTACTCATAAGGAGATTTAATCAGTAAACAAAAACTTCGCAACAAACAGAAGTCCAGGATCAGATGGCTTCACTGATAAATTCTACCTAACATTCAAAGAAGAATTAGTACCAGTCCTCAAACTCTTCCAAAAAATAGAAGAGGAGGGTCATGGGATTGAGCCCTGCACTGGGCTCCTCACTCAGCAGGGAGCCTGCTTGAAGATTCTCTCCCTCTGCCCCTCCCCCAACTTGGGTGCTTAGTCTAATGCTCTCTCTCAAATAAATCTTTAAAATAAAAATAGAAGAATAATAAACTTTTCCAAACTCATTTTAAGAGTCCGGTATTACCCTGAAACCAAAACCAGACAAGAATGCCACAAGAAAAAAAAAAACCTGCAGGCCAACATCCCTGATGAATATACATGCAAAAATCCTCAATAAATATTAGGAAACTGAATTCAACAACACATTAAAAGGATTATACACCATGATCAAGGGGGATTTATTCGAGGGATAGAAGAATGGTTCAACAGCCTCAAATCTGCCAATGTGATACACCATATTAACAAAATGAAGGGTAAAAATCATATGATCATCTCAATACATGCAGAAAAAGCACCTGACGAAATTCAACATTCATTTATGATAACTCTCAACAAAGTGGATTTAGAGGGAACATACCTCAACATAATAAAGGCCACACAGGACAAGCCCATAGCTAACATCACAGTCAACAGTGATAAGCTGAAAGCCTTCCCTCTGAGATCACAAACAAGACAGGACTCTTGCCCTATATTTGACAAAGTACTGGAAGTACTTCCAGAACAATTAGGCAAGAAATAGAAATAAAAGCCATCCAAACTGGAAAGAAAAAAGTAAAATAACAAATTATCAGAGAAATAAAATAATCACATTTGCAACTGCATCAAAAGGAACAAAATATATAGAAACAAATTTAAGCATGGAGGTGAGAGACCTGTATGTTGAAAACTACAAAACATTAATGAGCAACTGAAGAAGACAAAATAAATGGAAAAACATTCCATGCTCATGGATTAAAAGAATTAATATTATTAACAAGTCCTTACTACCCAAAGCAATTTACAGATTCAATGCAATCCCTATCAAAATTCCAACGGCATTTTTCAAAGACACAGAACAAACCTAAAATTTGTATGGAACCACCAAACCTCCAATAGCCAAAGCAATCTTGAGAAAGAACCAAGCTGGAGGAATCATGGTCCCTGATCCCACAATATTACAAAGCTATAGTAATCAAAACAGTATAGTACTAGGCATAAACAAACACACACATCAACAGAACATAATAGCCCATAATGAACCCATGCAGATGCTCAGTGAATTTACAACAAAGAAGTCAAGACCATCTGATGGGGGAAAGGACAGTATCTTCAATAAATGATGTTGAGAAAACTGCACAAACACATGCAGAAGAATTAAACTGGACAAACTTACACACTATACACAATAATCAACTCAAAACAGGTCAAAGACTTGAATGTAAGACCTGAAACTATAAAACTCCTAGAAGAAAACACAGCTACAGTAAGTTCCTTGACATGGGTGCTATGATTTTTTGAATTTGACACCAGAAGCAAAATAAAAAAAAGCAAAAATACAAAAGTGGGACTGTCTCATACTAAAAAGCTTCTGCACAGCAAAGAAAACCAACAAAACAAAAAGGCAACCTACTGAATGGAAGAAAATATTTGTAAATCATATAAGAAATTAATATCCAAAATATATAATTCACACAACTCAACAGCAAAAGAACAAATAACTCAATTTAAACATTGGCAGGTCTGAATAGACATTTTTCCAAAGAAGACATACAGATGGCCAACAGACACATGAAAAGATGCTCAACATCACTAATCATCAGGGAAATGCAAATCAAAACCACAATGAGGTATCACCTCACATCTGTTAGGATGGCTATTATCAAAAAGACAAGAAATAACAAGCGCTGGTGAGGATGTGGAGAAAAGGGAACCCTCATGCACTACTGGTGGGAATGTAAATTGGTAAAGCCATTATGGAAAGCAGTGTGGAGGTTCTTCAAAACATTAAAAACATAACTACCATATGATACAGCAATTCCACTACTGAGTAGCCCCCGAAAATTAAAACACTAACTCAAAAGATATGCAACCTAAGTGTCCATCAATGGATAAAGAAAATGGATAAACTATGGTGAATATATTACAATGGAATATTATTCAGCCATAAAAAGAATGAAATCTTGCCATTTATAACAGGAATAGGCACCATGGGCATTATCATTAAATGAAGTTAAGTGAGACAGAGAAAGGCATATACTGTATGATATCGGATACATGTGGAATTGAAAATCAAAAAGGAAAAAAAAAACAAAACAAGCGTGTAGATTCAGAGAACAGACAGGTAGTTGCAGGGGTTGGGGAAACGATATGGTAGAGGGAGTCGATGTAAAACAGACATAGAAGGTTTGAATTATTCAAAATACTGACTTTTAGATATATGCTAACTACACAATATGAGTTAAATATTACAGTGAGAGATCAGGTGAAACTGGAATGTTGAGCACAAGGCATATAGCCAAATAAAGTAAAGAGGTTCAAAGTGATAATAAACATAGCTGTACATAAAAAACAAAAACAAAGGAAACCTGAATGGGAGAAACTATTTGCAAATCATGTATCTAATAAGAAGCTAATATCCAAAATACATAAAGAATTCATACAACTCAACAGCAAAGAAGCTGATTAAAAAAATGGGCAGAAGATCCAAATGGACATTTTTCCAAAGAACACATACAGATCAACAACAGACATATGAAAAGATGTTTAACACCACGAATCATCAGGGAAATGCAAATTAAAACCACAGTGAGATATCTCTTCACACCTGTTATAATGGCTATTATTATCAAGAGGACAGGAGGTAAGCGCTGGCGAGAAGGCAGAGAAAATGGGACCCTTGTGCACTGTTGGCGGGAATGCAAACTGCTGAAGACACTGTGGAAAACAGTATGGGGGTTCCTCAAAAAATTAAAAATAGAATTACCAAATGACCCAGCAATTCTGCTTCTCCTATTTATCCGAAGAAAACGGAAACACTAACCTGAAACTAATGTTATGTGTCAATTATACCTCAATAAATACTAATTTAAAAAATAGCTCTAAGTTATTTAAAAATTTGTTCAAGTTAACTTGCTTTAATGACCTTAGACCTTAGATTCTTAAAAATTCCTTATGAAATGTTCAAATCTGTTAGATCTGGTATCCGCCGCATCAATTTCGTGCTCGTTCATTCTACAGTTTCGAAAATCACAAAGGCTCCACATTCGGAATTAACTCAGCAGTCCTAGTCCTGTTTAAATTCACTACCCTGTGGGAGCTGGCTTGAGGTTTAAGGCAGACTTCAAATAAGCGAAGCGGCATAGGAATGAGACACTTAAGGAATGCGCTCCCCTGATATTCGGCCCAAACAACACAACACAACACAACCCCGGATGCGTAAAGACATTCACCTGGCTAAAAATACCGCGCTGGGCTGAGGACCTCCCCCAGGACCGTTCGGCTGGCGCCCCGTGGACCACAAACCTCCCGCCAGAGGCCGCAACCGCCTCCCGCCGCCTCCCGCACTTTTCATTCGCGGGTACCGGCCACGGGGCCATCCCGGCAGCCAAGTCGGTAACGGGCCCACCCTGGGCCCCTGCCCTCTGAGCAGCCCTCGAAGACCCAACCGACCGCAGCTCCACCTCTGGGGGACCGCAGGGAGCGCGGGCCCGGCTCACCAAGTACCTGTGGGGAAGGCGCTTCCCGCCGCGGAGCGGACAGAAGCGGAGGAGCTAGCTGCCCAGCAGGAAGCACCTACTTCCCGACCACCTCTTCGGCCGCCGCAGGAGCCGCAGAGCTGCGCCGACGACCCGGAAGTGCTCGCCGAACCTGGAAGTGACAGTACGCGGGTGGGCCGGGAGGCCCCGCCCAGCCCCTGCTCCCACTCGCCACTCAAGACTTGCCAGGGGAGGGCGGGGTGCGGAGGGAGGAGGGGCGTGGGGCCAGCAGCTTTCAAGCCCTAGACCCGCCGACTGGCGTCCTGTCCGAGTAATTCACCAGGTTTACTAAATCATTCATAAGGGAATTGTAATTTTGAGATTAATCTTATCCACTGTTAGATACACAATTAGGAATGTTAGGGCAGTCACATCTTATGCCTAAAGTGTGTTCTGCGTAATACTGTTGAAGACCCTGCAATACTAAATTGAAGACAAATTCTGAAGATTAGAGCAGGATTTCTTTACCATTCAAAGTAGGGCTGCAATTCACTTAGCCCAGCAAGCTCTTGTGATTCCTGAAGAATTTTAATGTGGGAGAATTTGTATTTAAAATTTGTAGGTAATGGAAGACAAACACTTCAATATATATTGAGTTTATATAAATCCAAATGGTATCCTAAATGTGGATTAAAGGCAGCAATATGTGTACAGCTGTTTGCCATTAAGTAGCTGAACAGTGATTAAGGAGTAAATACAAAAGTGTTACTAAGTGGAATCTCTGCCACTTACTGATTTTGTTGGATTCCCCACTACTAAAATGATTCTAAACTATGAAATACAAAGTGTGATCATTAAGGTAATGTTTAAAATTAAAGCAGGATGAACACTTCACTCCCTTGAAAAATAGGAAGTAGCACCCGACTACAGAAAGAGAAACAAAAGGTCTAAAACTATTTGAAAGGCTTATGAGATAATTCAGTGCAAAAACTTAGTGACATAACGGAAGACAAAAAATGTGATAAAAATGAGTCAAAAACAAACTTTCCAATTAATTTATTTAAATTCATTAACGTTGCAAAAATATGCTGTGCAACAAACCAGGACGCAAGTTACCGTATTCCTAACAAGTCAAAGGAAAATAAAATATTACATCTCCTCAGTAAATCAAGACGAACCCCATTATTTCTTACAGGGATCACATCAACATCTTGCACACACAGTCATCAGAACTGAATTTCTCACACTGTAAAATGACAGCACCAGGCTAGGCAACATCAACTGAATAGTGGTGAAATGATCACAGCACACTGTGTCTAAATGGCAGCATGTGAATTTACATTAAGAAAAATATTTGAATTTTTGAAATCTGTATCAAAGTGTGTAGGTGTCTAACTCACTCTGAATTGTGTTCTGTGTGCATAGTGTCCTATGGACTGTGCAAGTCAGTGGCCCTGAACACACCTCCAACATTTGCTAGCTAGGTTTATGTACATAAACGGTTTAAGGGGCACAACTTTAGAAAGTTCGTATACAAAAAGTGCAATGGAATAGCTAATTAGTATTATTTTCCAAGTTCCTCCTTAGCCACACTGACTGTGAAAACACAAAGATTCCAAAATGTAAATGTTTTAACCCCTTGTAGAATGTCTTACAAGATAGAATCAGATCGCTATATGAAGCAAACAGCTCAATATAATTCTTTATCGATCTGAAAGCTTAATTAAACCCTTGATTTTCATCAGGTGTTTGATTTAAGTTGCTTTATGTGAACTTTTCATAGTATTCTTAAAAGTAATTCTCAAAACATAAGAAATTAAGTAGATCTACCATATGTAGTTGCAACAAAGCAACAGCTATGTTAAAATTTTAGTGTCACTCCTCATGTTCAACACAATACTTATTTTCAAGTGCCATTAGAACTTTAAAAGAAACTTACTTTACTGGGACTCACCACTGCTGATTCTAATTCATTCAGAATCTTGGGACCGCGGAAGAGGTGAGTGAAAGGATCCCTAGGTAATTCTTCTGTACTATGAGAACACTGAGTAGAAAACCTCCAACTTCCCTTACCAGCTGACCTTCCCAGGTGAGTCTAAATTCTTCATGCTTTCTCCCAGTGACTCAAATCACACAATTCCTGTTCCCTGTGACAAGGATAAACTCTAACAGAGTAGCTGGTCTAACTAATAAGCACATTAACTCCTCTATTCCTTCCTTTTGAGGTTTGTGATCCATTTCTCAAATATCTAAATATTTGAAAAAATAAGCAAGAAAACATGATGGAATGGATTAGCAAATTTCTATTTTCAGCCTATCTTCTCCCTTCTGATTGAGCAATGTTAGCAATTTTCCACATATAACACAGGAAAAAGGACGAAGCTATTGTCACCTTATATACACACTTTTACCGATCTCAACAAGAAACTGGCCTGTTCTAACCAATAATATCCTAATGCTAATTTACCTCTTGATTGAAGAAATCTAAAAAAGCCACTTCTGCACTAAATCAAACACTTCCAAATTCCCTGAGCACTCACATAAAAACAGCCAAATAGTAACACTGTAGTCATCTACAAGAAGTCTCTATCAAAAAGCAGAACTTTTACCTTTTTAAATTCTGAAACTGTCGTTGAAGAAATTCTAGCTACTGATATATACTTTGTCAATCAGCAAATTTCAGTATTCAGTGCAGTTACTAAATAGTGCTGTCCATTTTGGAAGACTAATTAATGTTTACCACGTTTCATAAAATATGAAAAATAACCTGGTCCTAAACTTTAATTTGAGCACTGTAATTGTTGACCCTCTCTGTTCAAACTTGCTTCTGTATGAAGAGACAAAGCAGATGAAAATATAAATTCTCATTATAGGTATTACTAACCTTTGCCCTCTTCACTCCAGTCTTAATTCACATATTCTGTGTGAAGCCTGCAGGTTTTCCCGTTGGATACAAGACTGTTATATGGTGCAAAGAGCTGCCATACACAGTACATCCCTTCACAGGGAAACATTCAGTGACATCTGAGATAACACCTACTCTTTACCTCTTCAGAGTTCTTTCTCCTACTTCCTTGTTTTGTTATCTTCCTTTCCAACTACCCCACTAGGCCCTCCTCAGGATCCTATCCTCCCCACACCCCGACCCGAGTTAAAGGCTATTAAGCTTCAAGTGGGAGGCCAATATAGCATTTTCCTTGGTGATACTTAGGAATATGACCAAGCAGAACACAACCAAATTACTTTATATGAGAAACTTTTGATTAAAGAGAGACACTCAGAGCCCAAGTATAATAAAACATAGTGACAAAAATCAAATTAAACCACTTAAGTTAGATCCATGACCCCAGCAGAAAGATAATACAATTTTATGTACTTTCAATCAGCAATGGAAAATTAAAATTGAATGATATGGGGGAAATGTCACATAGTGACAAATTACAAATAACAAACTGCCTAAGTGCTTTTCCTCTAACCTACTAGTTATAATCTTAAGCCTTATAGTTATGAAACATTTTTACGGGGCATGTCCCTGTACCAGATTCCATTAAGGTGTAGGTTAGAGCAGGTGTCGTTTAATCCAACGATTCACAGCACATCACTCTCGTTATATCCCAAGTGTTAACACTGTTCCTTCTGAATTTTAATGTTCTAATAGATTAAAGTTTACCTGTACTTTAAAAAAATATTTAGGAAAATGCATCACTTTTGCAACAAGTTGTATCTATAGTTAGGAACAATGCTTGCAAAAGCAAAAGTGAATAAACACAATAAACTGTTGAACCTGAAGCACTGTGTACTTTATGTGGAGGAAAACCACCTATTTAAAAAGTTCAGCAAATTTTGAACAGGATAAAGACTTACAGATGAAAGACTACTTAAAGAGCTCTATAAATATAGACTCTAATCACAATTAAATGATTCTTTATTCGTAATTCTCATATGGTAAATTCAGAAGGAATGCCTAAGTTGTTATTGTTAGTTTGCTTTTTCAACACAAACTGTTTCTAAGGTTTGAGCAAGCAAAAATGGTTTTGGCTTTATTTGCTATAATGACATTAGTTTAGGATCTGCCCACGGCTGCTGGATCCAAGTTAAGTCAGAAGGCTGCTGAGGAACAGCTCATCCTGGGAATCCTCCAGCATCTCCCATAATTGGACTTAGGTTAGCATGCCAAGTTTATAACTGAGGAGGACAAAAAGTAAAGGAAAATTCTCCTTTTTAACGGAAACTTTATACGAAAAATGGCAATGTTTGTAAAAGCCACATGTGTGTTCAGTCTGGGACAGAATAAATCCTAAAAGCTTAGCTCTCATCAGCTTCAATTTTGCTATTCTAGGACATTCTTTTGTAAATTACCTTATGGGAAGGGCTGGGGTGTGGTAGTATCCTCAAACTTGGAGGATACTAATTTTTCCACATGTGTATGAGTCACACAAGCATATGACACAGTATCAGACCAATCTGTTGTTTTAGGATGATTTTGTGGGTAATTAAGTTCTGTTTGGGCACCTCAGTACAATGTATTTCAGTGTAGAGTCAAGGTACTTATTACCAAATTAAACAAAAAGTTTATATGCTTATATTAAATGCCGTCCCAAACAGCATAATGTAATGATGCTCTAAGACTTACAAAATAACTTAATTTACAGTACTGTCAACATGATTCAACAGAAAATGTGAATATACACAAATCTGATTAGGTCAAACACCTACCTCCTACCAGGTTTAAGTAACTGATACAGAAGTATTTTGGTGAAGTGCCCACATTGAGAGCAGTTAAAAAAGCAGCCCCTATTTTCTACAGAAAAATAGGGACAGTGAATAACTCATCACATTCTCTGAATACTACACTGCACTCACAAATTCTGGAGAGTGATACCCTGGACACACAGCTTATTTCACATTAGTGAACAGACCTAAAATTTTTATAAAGTTCTGACTTCTGGCCAGAAGATAAAATGTCCCATATATACATATATACAAACCCCATTTCTTAGCCTCTTAAGTTCTCTAGTTCTAAAAATGGCTTTTTGACTTGTCTTTAAAGTTTAAAAAGGAGAAAGTGTGCAATACATTTGTATTTGCGCTTCTGAATTAAGAAACAGTATTAAATGAGAAAAAAAAAGCTTAGGATAGTATTAATCTACTTAGATTATGTACATGACCTTTGGGTATTCATGAGAACCAGTTTAACTGTCCCTCACCTTATGAGTTTTCTAAGTTACCCAGGAAATGTATCTAACCATTTACGAAAACAAAAATTCGAACATGCACTTTACAAATCATGGTCTTATTTACCTGTACATTCTTCCACAAGACAGGTATACATTAAAAAATATTGCTCAGAAACATAAAAATATATATTATCTCTTTCCTTTACCATTTAGGCATATAAATAGTTTACTGAAGATGATGCATCATTCAACAAACAAATGCAAAAACTGCTTTATATAAAGTGTGGTTCTCTGCTATTTAGCAATATAAAATATAAAATGATTACAATATAATTCGCTAATAAAGAGCTAAATTCAAGAGATTTGCAAACCAATACAGCAGTGAACAGTCCCTTACACAAAAGTCCATTAAGGAAGAGTCAAGTCCATTTTGTAACAGGTTACATAAAAATCAGGGCCAATAAATGCATTATAAATGCAAAAAAGAGCACTGCTTCATCAGCACATTCTTCAGTCTTGTTTGGACTAGACGCCAAACTTACTGTTCACTTTTCGGTTCATCTTGTTTTCCATTAAGCTCTTGATCAACTCTGTTTAATGAAAAACAATATAGATAATAAGACACTAGCAACTAAACAATTTTCTTTCTAAAAATTGTGACTACTTTTAGCATAGAATATTATTCTGTTAAAAACAAAGCTTTGCAAAGAAGCAGACATAGTAAAAAGGTTACCAAACATTTCCCCAACCAGGAAAGATAATTTTTAAAGACAAGAGGACACCGACAAGAAATGTGACTGTTGTTTCTTTAAAGATTATAAAATACTTTACATACAAATGCCCATAAGCTTTATTAAAAGTTCAAATTAGGGCGCCTGGGTGGCTCAGTTGGTTGGGTGACTGCCTTCGGCTCAGGTCATGATCCTGGAGTCCCGGGATCGAGTCCCGCATCGGGCTCCCTGCTCTCCCTCTGACTGTACCCCCTCTTGTGCTCTCTCTCTCTCTCAAATAAAGAAAAGAAAATCTTAAAAAAAAGTTCAAATTATAACAGGTATATTAAAATCTTAAACTGTAGCATGGCTGGAATCTAAGTGATGAGAGAGTGGCAGGAAAAATAACTCCCTAAAAAACGAGTCTGTTAACTGAAATACTAAAATGCCACTAATGCCACCAATTGACCAATGTTTTTAAATTCAGTGATAAAAATGCATATTTATAGAAACTATTCTCCAAAATTTATTGGTATACATAGACTATAAATGCCTTCCACTTATTTTGATAGTAAGAGGCCATCAAATTTAATAATTGGAAATATCTAGATGTGGTTAAAAATCGAACTGGATTAGTAGTGGGCTGCACAGAGATCATATCAAAATTTAGGCAAGTGGGGATTAGAAGAATTATGTAATTACAACACAATTATAAACAACCCCTTAAAGATAATGTACAACAGTCTATTACTATTATATTTGTACCAGTTTGAATTACTGATGGAGGGGAGTTTAAAACAATTTGGTATAATATATGAAGACACTTTTCACACTTGTTTCCATTACTATCATCATCACCACCCATTACTAGGATCCCCTGAACAGTAGTGAATGAGACCTAAAAGTCTTGGTCTGTGGTAAAGCCAGATTAATAACATTTAAAAACATTTTTTATGCTGGTATCAAAAATATGAGAGGTATATAGTCTCGATAAGACATGCAATATATATCCAGTCTTTTCAACATCTGAAATATGTTGAATTAGTTCTTATGAACTAATTTCACAATTACTTTAGTTTTAAACTACATTCAAACATTTTAACAACTGCTATCTCTCTGGCCACACTTGCACTGAGCTGCTTGAAAGAAACATCTACAACACTTAAAACTACTATGCTTGCACACTCAGTTTTGAATCCTCCTTATTCTCGGTATTCATCATAAGAGATTGCACCTTAAGTAAGCTCCTCCACATAGAGCCTCTGTTACATTTTTTAAAAAATATGCTCCTTTATTTTTAAAACTTGAATGTTACCATTTTCAAGCTGACAAGGATTTATTATTTTTTTAAGACTAACAAACTTTGTGCAAAAACTAAGAAGTACCTGAAAGATATATGTAATGATTCTATTATGGTTAAACAAAAGTAAAAAAAGAAGAAAAAAAATCAAGATAAAATAGTATTGGTAGGTATCAAACAATATATTTAAATAAAAAGTATAGTTCCACTATTTTTCTGATCCCTAAATTCCAGGTAATTAAATACTAAGAACTTTGTAAAAAGGCACAATTCAGCAGATTTTATCAACAAAGGCAATTCATTTTGAAATCCATGAAGCAGTGGGCTTCATTATACAATTACAGATTATATTTTTAATTTCAGTTATCCGTCTGGCAAGTGTACACCAGTGCCTAGAAAGGAAAAAAAAATTAGCAATACCTAAAATTACAGTCCACATCTCTACGTTAAAATGTCTGTCAAACTGTTAAGTGTCACATGAGAATGTAAAGCTATGATTCCATCACATCATCAACTGAATTCTTGCTCATCAACAGACCCAAAATGTGTCAAGAATGTTTCAGTTCCTTGTAACTGTTTCCTTAGAATGGTCAAAGTGATAATAACTACATACAAATCTCTCACCTTAAGAGAGACTGTATTAAAGCTGTTTTGCTAATTTGTCATTAAAAAAACAAAAACCATTAACAAGTCAGCTCCAAATCCTACACTGTTCTAGACTGCTATATAAAATGGTAACTATTTTATACCTTGCCTTTCATCTTCTAAGCCGAGATATTAATAGCTAATAGTTTGTTATGCTCAAAGCAGAAGTATTCAAAATTAAAGATGGAAAGCAGAGTGCTTAACTATTTAATGGTATACTGAATTTTAGGTATTTTATCATATGTAGAATTTGACTGGTTAGCAGGCCATTTAAGCGTATAGGGAAATCAATGTTGGTTAGCCAAAGAATATGTGCATTGCAAATATACTCATAAACCCCAGGGAAATAAACTGTTACCTTAAAAAAGTACATATATATTTATCAAGAGCACTAGTTGGACATTTAAACAATATGGTGAAACACATAAAGGCTTAGAGGTAATTGGTTTTCCAAATAGTATTCTTAGCAATTTCTTTGGTTTTGCTATCAGTATGTATAACATGAAGGGGTGAGGAGGGCCTATGGCCTTTAATTCTTAATTGGCATTATACATGGTGTTAGAACAGGGTGAATCCAAGCCATATTCAGCATCAGGAACTTCGGATTCACTCTATATTTGGATTCTGGGGTATGTTTATATTTACAAATGCTATTATCTTTGTCTACAAGCTAACCAACCAATAAGGAAGAGTTAGTCTGTGCAATGCAAATGGACTAGTCTAGATGCAACCCAGTCAAGGTGTGCATATACCTTTTTTGTTTCTTTTTTAACTTTTCTTCTTCATACCTTGGTAGGGAAGAGTTATTTCAGTAAATATACATGTTATGAAGATGAACAAAACTTGAAAAAAGGCACTGACAATAAACTCATATAAGTCTATAGGCAAAACCAAAAATACTTAACACACTATGTAGAAAGTCAAAACTGATCTAAGAAATCTGGCTTTGACACATTCAACAGACTAAACCTCAGATTAGTAGACCAAAAAACTTTTTCTACATTATAGCAGTGTGATACTCAAGGATTTATGTTAACAGCCTTCTACCAAATCCTTTTAAAAATTAGATGGAGGTGAATTTGGTAAACAGAACATATTCCAGCCACTGAATGAACCAAGGTTAGGCTGATATAAATAATATTGTATTTCTCCAGTAATAGGATTATTCAATGCCAGGATGAATTTACTCATATTTGGCGAGCAGCATATTCAAGTTTGGAGAATGTTCTTTAGTACTGACTGATGAGGAAATCACCACTTAAGATTGTAAACAGTCTTTAAAAATAAACAGTCTTAAAAATAAAAAGTCTTTAGGGCACCTGGGTGGCTCAGTTGGTTGGGCGACTGCCTTCGGCTCAGATCATGATCTTGGAGTCCTGGGATCGAGTCCCGCATCGGGCTCCCTGCTCAGCAGGGAGTCTGCTTCTCCCTCTGACCCTCCCCCATCTCATGTGTTCTCTCTCAAGAAATAAATCTTTAAAAAAAATAAACAGTCTTTAAAAATAAAAATTAATCACAACCAGAAATAATCCTTGCTTCTTCAGCTGATAACCTGAAGAAAATGGTGACTTGTGGGGAAGGTGCTGGAAAATCGCTTCTTTCCCTTTTCCTTAGTTATAAAAACAAGAGCAGTTACAAAATATTTATCATATAGGAAGTGTAACAGAATGACTATTGAAAAATATTTACCTCCTGTACATCAATATATAAAGATCCAATACAATTAAAGAAATAAAACAAAACATACTGTTTTATGCATTCTGGTATGCCAACATATTCCATGGGGACAAGTTCCGCTAGTTCTGCCAAATTAAAGACGTATCTAATTTTTTGGCTGAATTTTGAGCTATGGAAGAAAATAAAGATAATTATCTCAATATTCTGACCAACAGAACTGACAAGAAATTCACATAAGGAGTTTGTGTTTTTGTTTCTGTTTTTTTTTTTTTTTTTTAAGTCAATGACTCTCAGAAAATTACCTAATAAAGGGTCTTGTGACAGCTAGAAGTGTTCTGATAAACCATGAGGGATGTACAATGATTAGTGATTTTAGGTTTTTCCGTAACCTGGAATAAAAAAAAAAAAAAGAAAAATTTTTAAGCTCTATAAATTCTAATGCTAGAAGGAAAGGTAAGGCATCAATAAGTATGTGCAACTTTATACACACACAAATCTGTCATCCAAAAGTTCATTTAGTTGTGATATTCCTAAAGACAAGAAAATACATTCTTGAATTCTGTTTCTCCTCCTGCTACAAGATGAACTTTACTTCATTTGGCTAAATTTATGTCCACAGTATAGCTTGTTGTTAAATGTCTCCTAAATACATTCACTTGTCTTTAGAATTCTGTCAACTGGGTTAGAGGTCAATACTGAATATGAAATTTCATTTTTCAGGACGAGAGGGGAACTGGTACTCATTTCTTCACCATGAAAGGCACTGTGCCAGCAGAAAGATGGGAGTCAAGTTCACCACAGGAACAGGAAATGTAAATCAGATCTAACACATTCTTATGGAGTCCAAAATTCTGAGTAAAAATTAACGGTATTACCCTGGACGACTTAAAATGACCAAATAAAAACTGCTGTTTTATCATGCATATTCCACACTTAAGTGATCATTAAGGATTTTTTTTTTAAATCATAAAAACTAGCCCATGCCATGTTTAGGTATTTAGAGAAACCTATTAATGAGTCTGAGTTCATTAAACTAGTTCGATGTGGCTACAGTCTAATCAAACCAATTGGAGATTCAAAGTTCCTTCCATTAGCATGGATGACTAACTCCCAGGAGAATACACTCCCTAGAGCTCATTCCAAAATAAGATTATAGCTAAGCATCTTAAAAACCATAAAATATGCTAAGCACTATGAGCTAGCAAAATTCAGAATGTATTAAAATAGGAAATGTACTAAATTCTCCATCCTTTCCCAAAATGTAAATTATAGGAAACTGTTCAATGTGGTATAAATAAGGAGATAAAGAACTATTTTATAGGTTTTAAGGAATTATTCTTTATAAAACAGATCAAAACTAATTTCTTTCGTGATATTCTAAAATACTGAATTGAGAAAATAGAAACATGTTATGAAATTAACAAATATAATTTATGGTGTCCTTAAGTGACAACAGGAAATAAAATTGAACAAAGCTATTATAAAAATTATTCAGACTAGCTTTCAATGTGTATTTACAATACCTTCTATCAATTTGCTGGTAGCATTTCCTGAGCCATCCCAGACTGGGCATTTTTCTTCGAGTTGTAGCACCATTTAAATAAACTATCATGTAGTTTTCTGCTACTAACAGCTCCAAAGTGCCAATAACATACCTGTAAAAACAAATTAAGTTTAAGCCTTAAATATTGCTTTGCAGAACCAAACAAAATTATGCAAATGATATAATGCCGTTCCTTTCCATTCAATGACAGCAAAACCAATTAAAATTTCAAAACTGCATTAGTTGGTATTATGATTGTGTATCAGAAAGAGTTATCTTCTAGAAATACACATTTAAAAGTCTGCAGATGAACTGACATGATTTCTGGGACTTGCTTCAAAGTTATACAATGGGAAGAGCATACATTTTGGGAATGAAGTATAAACTAATTGTGGGAGCAGGGGATTCATACACAAAGATTCAATACACTTCTCTCTACCTTTATATAAGTTTGAAATTTTCCATAATAAGTTTTTTTAAAACACCACTAACTTAAGAAACAGAATGACTCTGTGGAAATAGAACTGAGTCAGTTCAGTTATATTTGGCTTTTTGGGAGTAAATGCAGTTTAGCCATATGATTTTGAGATAGAAGAATTTCTTTACATTTAATGTAAAATAAAGAAGTTGGAACAGATAATCTGAAATAGCCCTTCCAGTTTTAAACTGACAATTTTCCTGTTGAGTTGGAAAATGAAGAGTTTTATAATGCCAAAGAATAAGGACTTAAAGGACTGGAATGGAGATAATTACAATCTTCTCCCAGGTAAAGTTCACGTCTTAAATTGGAGATCTAATTAACTCAGAATTCTGTCCAAATTTTTTTATGAAGGTATACTTACTTAAAGAGATTGTCCATCAGGTATCTATAGTTAGGTTGACCACTTTCAGGCATAAAACAGACAGCAAACACAACAATGGCATTTAATCCATCCCCATAATATCCTGAAAAAGAAATCAAAGATAAAATCACCAGCATGATTTTACTTTTTCAGGGGAAATCTGTATGTACAGTTGATAGATTATATAGTGGTTCATGTTCCCCCACAATTTTTTTGATCAAAAAACATGGTTTCTTTTTTAACCTTATATAGCCTTATAAAGATCTTAAAATCCCCTCTTCTCAAAATGAGAATAAAATCTGAAGAGGAAACAGTGGGCATAAAAACCAGAAACCCATTTAAAGTGGCATAATCAGAAAGCCAGTCCTACTTTAGTAAACAGACAAATGAAACGATATAATCCAAGCAGGCATAATATGAAAACATCTGCAATAAAACAATCTTATGCAAGTTATGGTTAAAGTGGGTGCTTTTTTTTTTTTTCTTCTTATGTTAATCCCCATACATTACATCATTAGTTTTAGATGAAGTGTTCCATGATTCATTGTTTGTGCACAATACCCAGTGCTCCATGCAGAATGTGCCCTCCTCAATACCCACCACCAGGCTAACCCATCCTCCCACCCCCCTCCCCTCTAGAACCCTGTTTGTTTTTCAGAGTCCATCGTCTCTCATGGCTCGTCTACCGCCTCCGATTTCCCCCGCTTCATTCTTCCCCTCCCACTACCTTCTTCTTCTTTTTTTTTCTTAACATATATTGCATTATTTGTTTCAGAGGTACAGATCTGAGATTCAACAGTCTTGCACAATTCACAGCGCTTACCAGAGCACATACCCTCCCCAGTGTCTATCACCCAGTCACCCCATCCCTCCCACCCCACCCCCCACTCCAACAACACTCAGTTTGTTTCCTGCGATTAAGAATTCCTCATATCAGTGAGATCATATGATACATGTCTTTCTCTGTTTGACTTATTTCTAAAGTGGGTGCTTTTTAAAAAATACTTTTACACTCAGCAATGCCTAGCATTTTGTAGATTTAGAGTATTAGAAACTACATCTCTGACAATTTTAACTGAAGAAAGTGTTAAAATGTGTATGTTTATTATAATCTCTAGATATTAAGCTGTATCCAGTAACACTGGTTTAACTTTCATTTTTGTTGTTTACAAACATACACTGAAAAGGTTTAAACAGTTCAAGTACATTAGCATCTTCAATACCTTCCTCAATCTCTTAGTCACAAAACACACTATGATAATTCAATAGGATAAAATGGTCCTAATTATTTCCCCCTAATCCAAATAAAGCACTCTTTCTGAAAGATACTTTAAGATAGTCTGAACCATAAGGCCGGTCTCACAACTTGTTTCCTATGAACTGGCTGAATTAATGCAAGTCTGTGGACTTCCTGATCCAGATTATCCTGTTTTCTTCATCTGAATAGGATTAAATTAGGCAGAATAATGTAACTGCAAATATTCAGGTGATCTGGTTTCAGATGAATGAAGACTATAGAAATACAGAGGGAAATGGATTTGGCAGAAAGTAAATTAAGTAGAAAGGACTCTACATAAAAAAACCCAATCTGTTTAACCTACCCCTTTCCTGCATTAGGACTTCAGGTAATAAGAAATGTTCTAGAGAGTGACTTGCATTTTGACTACCATTAACATTCTCACACTATTTATGGTGTCTTTGTAAACTTCTATACATGGCACAGTCAGATGGATAGAAGTTATAATCATACTCCCATAGCTTTTCCTATTTGACTTGCAATTTCTTAAGAAATGAAGCCTTATATTTTTGGATATTCCACAAATATGCAAAGTTGGTGCTCCATAAAAACGTGGAATGAACTAGTACTGTACTTTATGGTAAAACTAAATTATTTTTTCAGGGTTTTAAGGTAAATTAAGAGTTACAGTTTAAAATGCCAAGTTTTACTTATATCCACAAAGACTAGTACAAGAATGTTCACAGTTTTAATCATAATGGCCCAAACTGGAAACAACTCACATGTTCATCAAAAGAAAAATGAATAAGCCAATTGTAGTTTATCCATGCAATGAAATACTACTTAGCAATGAAAAGGAATGAACGACAGACATGTGCAACAGGGATGAATGTCAAAAACATGCTGAGCAAAAGAAGTCAACAAAAGAAGGTACACTATATGATTCCGGTTACATGAAATTCTAGAACAGGCAAAAGTAATCATGGGAGTAGACATGAGAATAGTGGTTACTGGAGAGGGGGGTATTCATTGAGAAGGAGTTTGAGAGAATTTTTTGGGGCAATGAAAATGTTCTGTAGGTCTAGGTGTAGGTGATATGGGTATATATGGTAATATGGGCATTTGTCAAAACTCACTGAATACTACATTTCAGATTAGAGCGCTTCCAAGTGAAAAAGTGAGAAGAAAAACAAATATTGTATGATATCACTTATATGTGGAATCTAAAAATGCCAAACTTAGAAACATAGACTAAAATGGTGTTTGCCAGGGGCTAGGGGGAAAGAGGAGATGTTGGTCAAAGGGTACAAACTTCCAGTTATACGATGAATAAGTTCTAGGGATCTAATGTACAGCATAGTGACTAGTTAGTAATACTGTATTATGTACTCAGAAGTTGCTAAGAGAGTAGATCCTAAATGTTCACACCACAAAAAAGAAATGGTAATCATTATGTGATATGTATTGCATTAGATCAACACGTTTTACACCTTAAACTTACACAATATGTCAATTATATCTCATGAAGCTGGGGAAAAAATTGCAAGTACTACAAAAAAGGATTATAGCATTTCACTATATATAAATTATAAATGGATAAAAAGGGGAGAAAGTCTCAGTTTTGGGGGGAGGTGTCAGGGTGGAAAACAGTTTCCACTGTATACTCTTGTACCTTTTGAATATACTGTGTGCATGTACTAACGATTTTTAAATTTGGTTTTATCCTTTTACTTCAAAACTGTTGTTTCTAAGATGACATAAATGTTTATTATATCTATTTTTTTACTCAAGATAGAGTAAAAAGGATATGAACAATCTTCGATCGCTCTTACCTCCATGGCTGATAACTTTTTTATAGGGTTCAATTGCCTTCATATCGACCCTGTGGTCCTGTTCTCCAATTCTGAACATACGCCAGCGTCGTCCATCTTCTTTTTCCTCTGCTGCTGTGTATTCAGTAATTGAGCCTTTCCTAATAATTTCAGTAGTTTTGGGTTTTGGAAGATCATCTGTCAAAATAAAAGGTTTTTGAATCACAAATTGTTATTTATACAATAAAAATCAAATTACATGTTAACCACTTTACTATCTAATTAGATTGTTCAGGGATTTTTTCATTATATCTTCTGTGGAATTTTAAGTATTTCTTCTGTAACAGAGGAAAAGGCTTGTTATTGATACGAGGCCATTTTATGTTTTTGGAAATCATGGTTAACTTTTTTGTATGGGCTAATTCACAAAGCACCTATCACAGTGCAATGTATGTTCATGAGTTCAAAAAAGATAATTCATACAGCCATCAAAATCTTAGTACATTGGCCTTACAATGCCGTTCAGATTTTATTTACAACACTGTTCTTGGTAGTTACCACTATAGGTTATTTAAAGTAACTGAGAACAAATTGTTTTATTGAGCACATAAATTATTCCCCAAACACTGTAATACCAGATAGAAAGTGGTTAACCAGCCAATGATTATTTCTCATTTGATCAGTTTTATTGAGCAGAAATTTACTAATAACATTCTGACATGTACATGCAAAAGTCTATTTTAAATTGACATTAGCCAAAGCAGAAGCACCAATGATTAGGTGTAATTTATATTTCAAGATTGCATTTTAGAGGATTTTAAATGAAGTAATGATTTTCAAAATTTTAGTATCAGAGTCCTTACCAAAAGATGGGGGGGAAGGGGGACCTACGGCATGTTAGTTGTTTGTTTCCAAGATAAAGCTGTTAACGGAAAATATCCTTCCAGGAAATGACTACAGCAGCATTAAAGAAAGAAGAGACAAAACACATAGGCAGAAAACTATTTCAGTATCTTTTTAAAATATTGCTTATTACTGGACTGCTTATTGAACCAGTAAAACAGGGAAGAAAAAAGGAACAAAGATATAGCATATCAAAGATCTTACTCTTTACTGCTGATAAAACACAGTGTTAAACACTGCTTTGAAGTAAAAATCATTTTAAAGATGGAATATATAAACAACTATATAAAGATACTGTACATAGAAATTATCTCATTAAAGAAAACATGCAAAGCAAAACACATGCCAATCCTTTGACTTCTAAGTAACTTAATAATAAGGAATATGAAGTTTGGGGACTAAGAGTATACATTAATTCAAGTTGGTTGTTTACATAGTGCAGCACTATCAGGCAAACCAAATGAAAAAATCACCCTCAAAAAACTCCCTTCAAAGCTCCCTCTCTATAAACCCTTAACTACTTTTAGCATATTCCCTATGTTACATGTCTCATCAAAGCTCTTTTCCTTAGCTGACTGACTAAAGAAAAGAACATGCTATACTTATCAAGCAGTATTTTGGAAGCAACATGAAAAAACATAATTTCACAATCCTGAGCAATTAAGAAAGAAAATAAAGCCACCTGTGTAATCTACTAAAAACCGTTTTTGAAAGCCATGAGAATATTGTGTTAGCAGAATTTCCTCTTAGTAACAAAATATAGTAGGAACTTTAGAAAGAATAACTTCATATTTCAACAAAATCCCTTAATCATTGATTTTAAGTTCAAGATCAAGTTTTAAGTTTTTCAATTATCCTAATAGGAGACTCCTATTCAAAAAACACATATGTATATAGAGACAAACATTAATAAAGGTCAGATAAAAACAATGAAGCATTTACCTTCCCACTCAAATTCATTACTGTTCTCTGATGGCGTGTCTAAGCCATCTAAGTCAATCTCCCCACTTTCATCCAAATCATCTGACAGCACAGAGCCATCGCTAGGATCCAGGGTCAGGCTAATGTCTGGAGCCATGAGTTTCTTTCTTACTTTATTTCCATTAACTTCTAGTGAGCATGGAATGGGTTTCAAAAAAAAAAAAAAAGTGAAAAACAGATTAGAAGGAATGTTTACATGCTCAAGTTGAAAAAGAGAAAAAAATTTTTTTTAATATTTATTTGTTTTTTAGGGTGCCTGGATGGCTTGGTCGGTTAAGCATCTGTCTTCGACTCAGGTCATGATCTCAGGGTCCTGGGATCAAGCCCTGCATCAGGCTCCCTGCTCAGTGGGGAGTCTGCTTCTCCCTCTCCCTCTCCCTCTGCCCCTCCCCCCTGCTCATTTGCTCTCTCCCCCTCTTTCACGATCTTGGCCTCTCTCTCAAGTAAATAAATAAAATCTTTAAAAATATATTTATTTTTTTAGAGAGTGAGAGTATGGGCATGTGAACGGGGGGAGGGGTAGAGTGAAAGGGAGAATCTTAGGCAGGCTCCACGCCTAGCGCTGAGCCCAACGTGGGGCTCAAGCTCATGACCTTGAGATCATGACCTGGGTCGAAATTAAGAGCCCAAATGCTTAACTGACTGAGCCATCAAGGTGCCCCAAAAAGAGAAAAATTCTAACCACATTCTTGAGAAAAATAACATTAATCAAACACAATCCCAAAGCATTAATTTATAAACCTTGGATTTTGATCATTATTGCTTCTACATCATGACAAGACAACACATGCCAGCAAGGATAAGTCTTCTTTTTTTTTTTTTTAAAGACTTTTATTTATTTGACAGAGAGATTGACAGTGAGAGAGGGAACACGAGCAGGGGGAGTGGGAGAGGGAGAAGCAGGCTTCCCGCTGAGCGGGGAGCCCGATGCAGGGCTCGATCCCAGGACCCCGGGATCATGACCTGAGCCGAAGGCAGACGCTTAACGACTGAGCCACCCAGGTGCCCCAAGGAGAAGTCTTTTTAAGTAACAGAGGCAAACATTATAGTCAGTTCTTACAATTAAAAATGAGCTCCTCTCAACCTTTTATTGTAGAAATTTCCAAAACCCAAGGGTATGTTTTTACAAAGTTAAATTTCCAAAGCACTCAAAAAATGCTTTCTTAAACATTCAACTTATCCTTTGGCTCTGTATAATAGAACAAAAAATGAGAATACTTTTTTCCCTTGACAAAGAAATGTGTTAAAAAATAGCACAAAGTCTACCATTTCGTTGAAACCAAAGTGCCAAGTTCTTACCAGGCTGGCTCTCCGGTCCAGTTACAGCTAGTATATCTGCTTCCATACTATCATCCTCTGGTAAAGGTCTAGAAGATACAGACATAATTTTTAATTCACAAATTAAAAAAATTTTTTTTGAAGTTCAGAGCTATTTAAAATATCTTATAGAATCAATTACGTGGAAAACTGAATAAAGCAGTTTCTTAAGCTTCAATAATTTACAAACGACTTTTAAAGACAAAATTTTCAGACTGTCAGAAATGATTTGTATATCTATATAAATAACACATAAAAGTAGATATAAATTCCTTATGTAACTACTCTTAAATACAACTACAAAACAAACCTAAAAATTATAAACAACCTAAAAAACATATAACTCAAATGGACGAGCTTAACATGAAATACAATACAATGTGTGGCGAAGGTAAACTGTCCCTCGCATGCCAGTACGGTCATGATGGCTACAATTCTTTTGAGCTGAGCATTTCTATATCATTACTATTATCACCATGTGCTATGCAGTGACTTAGTACTCCCACAAGCTGTCCATATTCCCACTGTTAAGGGACCTTCCTATGCACTGGGATGGTCTTCTGACCAAGATGGTATGGAAGCACCATTTAAATATAAGGTCTGCCTTTGCCCTTTTTCTCTTAACCCAGCTGCTGCCAATACAACCGTAAATACAAATGCAAACGTGTCAAAGTAGCTGGCCAGATGATCTAAAAAACCCTTATCTAATAAGTTTTTTTCTTAAAATAGAAGCACAAAATTTAACAACTCTTACAGACATCTAAAGACTCCCTTCTCCCAGGAACCCCTCAGATTCCAGTTTAAGAAATACCATATTTAAGCATTTTTTGCTTAAATTTCAACGTTTTGAAATTTAAATGTTGAAAACAAAAATAGAAGATTATAGAAGATCACATATATATTTACTGGAAAATAAGATATAAGAGAATTCATCTCACTGTTGGAAAGGAACTTTCATTTTCTAGTATCAAATCAACACCTTTGACATTGGGTTTCTATAAGAAGCTCAATATTCATTTAATAAGTGACATCTCAATAAAGACATTTTGAAGTTTTATTTTAAATTTGTTTTCATTTGAAAGTATTGCTCACATTGGAAAATCTTCATCTTGCCATTCTTCTTTAAGTTCCACACCTTCCATCCTCAGTTTAGATTCAATATCAGCCACAAACTCCTGATAATCCAGAGAGCCAATGTCCTGTGAAAAGAGAAAAATTTATAACAACATATTTTCCATGTTACTTTTTATCTGCTAAAAAGGTGCAATAATCTTATACCTTAGTTCACACTTCCACCCTGGCCATGAAATCAATTTATTGGGCTGCAACTACCATTAAACAAACAAACAAACAAAAAAGAATTAGAATTGGGGCACCTGGGTGGCTCAGTTGGTTAAACAACTGCCTTCAGCTCAGATCATGATCCTGGAGTCCCAGGATCGAGTCCCGCACCGGGCTCCCTGCTCAGCAGGGAGTCTGCTTCTCCCTCTGACCCTTCCCGCTCTTGTGCTCGGTCTCTAAAATAAATAAATAAAATCTTAAAAAAAAAAAAAAGAATTAGAATGAAAATCAGAGTCTATATATTCTAGTAATGTGAGTACTATTTGCAGTTAAGGGTATTGGGCAGTGAAAATATTTGTTTTCAGTTACATATATGCATGTGTGTCCCAGGTTGTGATTTAAGTTTTATTAAGTTTTGTGAATTATGTAAAAACAATCTGGGGGGGAGGCACAAGGAATAAAAGTAAATATATTCTCTACTCTAGATCCATAATTAATTTTCTGTCCTCCGGATAGAGGTTGATCCTAGATATTGAACACTAGTAAATTGCATTTACATTCATGATTCAGTAAAGTGTGCTGTATCTTTTTAAAACTGATGTATAATTAACATTTAAAAAAATATTTTATTTATTTGACACAGAGAGAGAGAGAGCATGCGCACAAGCACAAGGAGGGGAAAGGCAGAGAGAGAGGGAGAAGCAGGCTCCCCAGTGAGCAGGGAGCCTGACATGGGGCTTGATCCCAGGACCCTGGGATCAGGACCTGAGCTGAAAGCAGACGCTTAACCGACTGAGCCACCCAGGCACCCCTATAATTAACATTTTTAAATTGAAGTATAATTAATATGTGTGCTGTTTTCTATACTTCCATCTCTTTAGTTTCAATGCCATCACTCCAGAGCCATTTAAAGAAGGCTACTTAGTAACTATCCAGTAAATGAATGCTACATTTTGATTTGCTTCATATCTACACTAAACTTTTCTCATGCAGTTCAGCATAAGTTTTCAGACACTGAACTTAGTGACTATTTCTTTTTTATTTATTTTTTAAAAGATTTTATTTATTTATTTGACAGAGAGATAGAGAGCACAAGCAGGGGGAGTGGCAGGCAGAGGGAGAAGCAGGCTCCCCACCGAGCAGGGAGCCCGATGTGGGGCTCGATCCCAGGACTCTGGGATCACGACCCGAGCTGAAGGCAGCCACTTAGCTGACTGAGCCACCCAGGCACCCCGTGAATATTTCTATTCATGCAACTACATATGCTAACCTAGGCCATTCAGTTTTAGTTTTAGTCTGTCCAAGGAAGGGTGTGGGTGCCTACATCCTCACTTTACAAGGTGAAGAACGCTGAGATTGGTTTGGTTGGTGGAATAAGAACTGGAGGTTTAAGTATATTATTTAAGAAGTCATAAAGATCAACTGGTTAATGAGCAGAACAAAAACTGTGACAACTTTAGGGCACAAGAGGTATAGATGAGCTAATATTTAGTTCAATTGCATTAGAGCAAGTCAATAGATGACTAATTTTTTTTTTTTTAAAGCAGTAAAACATGTATTTCTTAAGAGACAGAAAGTATCACTACAAGTATTAAAAACAAAGCAAAAAGTGGTTGGTCCCAGTGGAAGAAGAAAGAGGGTGACATGGGGAGAATGACTGATGCTTTTCATAGTAAATCCTAAACTATTTGACTTTTAAAACCATGTATATATAACTTTAAAAAATACTTATCAAATAAAACAAATAGTGCCAGCCATTCACTTCAATTAGTCTTGTAAAACAAAGACATGATGCCTCCACACACTGGAGTATTACTCAGCCATAAAAAAGAATGAAATCTTGCCTTTTGCAACAACATAGGTGGATCTCGAGGATATAATGACAAATACCATACGATTTCACGCATATGTGGGATTTAAGAAACAAAACAAATGAACAAAATAAAAAGAGATAAAAAACAGACTCAAATATATAGAACAAACTGGTGGGGGCATGGGTGGGAAATGAGTAGAAGAGGTGAAGAGGATTAAGAGTACACTTATCATGAGCACTGAGTAACATACAGAATTGCTGAATCATTATACTGTACACCTGAAACTCATATAACATTGTTAATTACATTGGAATAAAAATAAAAATTAAAAAATTAAAAAATAAATAAAACAAAGATGTGGTCATGGTTTATGGTTGCTTTATCTGCTGTCATTACAACACTATAAAGATGTACAAAGCTGTACAGAAAAAGCATTATGTTCCAGAACAACAACAAAATTACACTGGCAATTTTCTGAAGTGTTAGATTTCACATGGTAAAGTAAATTTATATCTCTGCCAAGACTGGGAGGCTCTCTTCTCAGTTTGAATTCTTACTTATGCTCAAGGAAAGGGTTCACACATTCTCAAAAGGTTTAAATATTCGAGGACCCACTTTCAAGCACAGGAAAAATAGCAAATGCTCTTTTCCTCACCAACATATTTGCTCGGAAAACTCAGTATTTATATACGTAAGTCATTTTTAATTCTCTGGGAAAACACTGAGCCAGGCAATGTTGAGAAATTAATGGAAAACACACCTAAACTACAGTAATCTTGACTTATTTACCACATTCTCTGTTTCTAATACATAGTCTACACCTTAACACAGGTCTTCACTGATCACATCATAGATTGTTCTCTGATGGCAACTCTTCCTCTCTGTAGAGAAGAAAATAAACAAAAAAGGGATACCTATCTTGCCAATCTTTTCTATTTAGAACACAGAACTAGTATAAAAGACCCCCAAATTATGGCCAATAAGCCCAAACACTTAATGCTTATTACCTTAGAAATCAATGCCCAAGTGAGACTGAAACACTCTATTACTAAAGGTTTAAAACTGTCTCTTCCAAATTTTTAATTCACTGTACTTCTCAATTTTTTTCTGAAGTCTTATAATCACTCTAAAGTGAACTAATATACTTCCTAAATTCAATAATCAGAAAAAGTTTCTGTTATTTTGTCTTACCTTTTTGTAGGTGTTGGAAAAATACCAGGATCTTCTTGTTGTCTTTTTCAAATATCCCACATACTCAAAAAAATATTTAATATCTCAAAAATAAAAGCAGAGACTGAAAGTTGCTATCACTATATTCTCAACACCTCACACAGTGCCTGGCACATAAGCCTGTGAATGTCAGTTATATGAATATTGTAAGGTAGGACACTGGATAGCAAGCCTTTATTTTGCTCTACCCCTTAGGCTTATTTTTCTTATTCAACTACATTATTTAACAGCCTTCCTGTTGTTTTACCCTCAAAAAGTGTAATGAAAATATTTAGGGCAACCCACATACATGCAATTAACAATTTCTGTTGGTAAAATCATTCCTTATTTTTAAGTGAAAATATGTAACTTGAGAAATTCTATAAGACAAACCATGTCCTTTAGTTCCCCTACCACTTGAACAAGGCTATTACTTGAAAATAACTCCTCTAAACATAGAGAGCCTGAGTCCTTCAGGTCTCTCAGCTGATTCACTCAATTTTTACTTCAATCATATTGAAGCATGTGATTTTAAAACACACAGCACATGGACATGGATATCTAGTTTGGGGATAATTATTTAAGCTAGTTAAACAGAACCTAGAGATACAGATAGATTCACTCTTGACCATTTCATCACAGACTGTAGGGAGAAAAGTACACTAGGTAGACAAAAAGTTCAAACAATTGAGAGAGTATTGTTCTTGGAAGCACTTAATCATCAGCAGCTGTAAGAACAGGAAACAAACAAGAAAGGAGCAATATAAGCACAACCACTTTGAAGGAAATCAGGACACTGCTGACTCACAAGTTAACTGTGGCTGTTTCCCATTTTTTGTTCATAAATTTGGTAAATTACAATGGGGAAATAACACTTTAAGATGCCATTTGTTAAAATAACCTAATGCAACAGCAATAACTTGATTTCCCAACATACTTGTGGTACTGGGGGCACATGATTACTTATGCCGATTAACCACTAGAAGTCATTTAGATAAATTCAGAACACCTGCTGACCTCAGTGAGGTTAAAAATCAAGGAGAATGGATTACCTCCTGACACAACTTCTGAAGGGAGATGTGGTGGTAAATTCAACCAAGATGAAGAAGGGGATTTCCCTATGCAACTCAGCAATATAAGCAAAAATTAAATATTAAAATCTTATTTACAACTGTCTGATTTATAAATTACAATCTCACGTGCAACTTTACTATTACGTAGTTTAACAGTCCTGCTGGAATAGGTGCTAGTAACTACCACCTATGCTGAAATCACTTCTTATTGGCAGAAGGAAATGTCCAGGCAAGTCTTTCACTTCTTCATTTAAACAAAAGGGCTTCATTCTAGATATTTATGTTCACTTTTCCCTATGCGGCTGGCAACACTGTTGGCGCTATAGGAAAATACGTTAGGCCAGCCTATATGTTTACAGTGACCACCAAAACGCCTCCAGAAAAATCTTCTACACTTGTCACTGCTTCCTTGAGAGCAGGGTCATGCAGGTTTTTAAGAATGAAATGACACCATGAGAGGTCACCTTACACCTGTTAGAATGGCCATTCTTGAACAGACAAGAAAGAGCAAGTGTTGTCAAGGGTGTGGAGAAAAAGGAGCCCCTGTGCACTGTTGACAGGAATGTAAATTGGTGCAGCCGCTATGGTAAACAGTATGGAGGTTCCTCAAAAAATTAAAAATAGAAATACCATTTGATTCAGCAATACCACTTCTGGGTATTTATCTGAAGGAAACAAAATCACTATCTCAAAAAGATACATGCAGCCCCATATTCACTGCAGCATTATTTGCAATAGCCAACATATGGAGGCAACCTGTTTCCACTGATAAATGAATGGATAAAGAAATTGTGGTATATATACACAATGGAATATTATTCAGCCATAAAAAGAATGAAATCTTGCCAGTTGGGACAACATGGATAGACCTTGAGGGCATTACGCTATGTAAAGTAAGTGAGACAGAGAAAGATAAATATTATATGGTCTCACTTATATATGGAATCTTAAAACACACACACACACACACACACACACCCCCAAGGTCAAAGATGCAGAGAACAGACTGGTGGTTGCCAGAGGGGAGGGAGGTTGGAGGAATGGGCAAAGGCGGTCAAAAGGTACAAACCTCCAGTTATAAAATAAATCCTAAGGACGTAATTAATGTACAGCAGGGTGATTATAGTTAATACCGTATTACATATCTGAAAGGTGCTAAGGAAATTATTCTTAAAAGTTTTCATCACAAAAATATTTTAACAATGTGTGGCAATGAATGTTAAATACACTCATTGTGGTGATCATTTCCCAATATATAAAAATATCAAATCATTATTGTATGTACACCTGAAACCAATGTTATATGCCAACTGTACCTCAATTTAAAAGAACAAAATGAGATCCTCTATCTGAAACATTAACACAAAATTCAAGAAAAATTACAATGCTGCTGACTTCTAAAAATTGTGAAAATAAAGCAAAGGATAATTATGCCACCTACAAACAGTACTTTTATGATCAGTATGCAGAACATACTGGAGACGCTCTAAGCCCTTTACAAAGATTAAAGTCTAATATTGATCTCTGACACTTTATTGTAAGTTATACATATTTGCTGTAATATAAAATTATAATTGTGGAATATTATTATCATCATATTATACTGGTATTCTGCTTTATACCATCAAAGCTTAACAAGACAACTTTCGATCCACTGTCAGCCAAGGTTAATTTTTCGGAACTGGTTATAAATACTTCCTTTTTTAGATGCTGTCCTCCATCGCTGCTCCTACCCACATTGCTCCAGAGGCAATGAAGAGAACCACTTTCCTTTTCACATTTACTAACCACTTGTACATTCATCATCCCCACATGTTCCAATCAACAACTTCTGTGAGGTATAAAACACTGGTGTTATTATCCCCATTTTATCTTACATATGAGGCAAATGACACTACATCTTGGTTCCCAGGTTAAATATAGAATGTTTCTAATACAGCACACTGTCTCCAGTTCATGGCAACTTTATACAGAGTAAGCCTGTAATGCCAGATTTGGTTACATTTATCTTCAAAGGTCCTTTAATACTTAAAGACTACAACAGCACTAACTTATGATGATCTAGTTCAAGATCCATGTTTGCAGAAGAGGATCTGTCATACTTCCTGTATAAGCCCAACAATGTTAGGCTGCAACAGAGGAGATTATGAAGAACAAGAATAGTTTAGAAGAAATGTAAAATGACAAGAACTCAGTAAAAGATGTGAGAATTCATCAAGAAAATAGTATACAAGGTAACTAAATTGGGTAACTTCAGTTATAAACGTTAGACATTTACAAGTTGCAGAAATTCTTATAAAATTTTAGAAAAAGAATATGTTTCGGGGCGCCTGGGTGGCTCAGTCGTAAAGCGTCTGCCTTCGGCTCAGGTCATGATCCCGGCGTCCTGGGATCGAGCCCCACGTCCGGCTTCCTGCTCAATGGGAATCCTGCTTCTCCCTCTCCCACTCCCCCTGCTTGTGTTCCCTCTCTCGCTGTGTCTCTCTCTGTCAAAATAAATAATTAAAAATCTTTAAAAAAAAGGTTTCATTGAAAAAGTTAAGAAACTAGGCATTAAGAGAAATAGAGATCTCTAATCAAAAAAGGTGAGGATGAAAAAAAGCAACTCTAAAATGCAATCACACACTTCATTCAACTAACTATAAGGAAGGCACTATGACTACCAGGATGAACAGGACAAAAGCTGTGCTCTCAAAGGGCTCCCGCAACAGGCAGACAGGGGAAGTTTCAAAGCAACGTAATAGACGCGAATAAATTTAACAGGAGTTGATCGAGCAGAACCACAGCAGCATCAGATATACAGAAGAAACCCAAACCATTAAGTAAAAGGTAATGTCTGAATCCACGCAGGAACTCGGCTTTTACAGGAGGAAGGTCTACTAAAGCCCTCATTACATATGCGCTTCCGTGTCTATTCCCCGAGGGTACAGGGCACATCAGACGTCCGAGTTTCTTTGTTCAGCACCAGGACTGACACTGATCTTAAATACGCGACCAAAGTGGCCCGGGACCAGGGTGTGTGCAGCGGGGCCGAGAGGGGGGCAAGTTCCACCCCGAGCACGACAGCACGAACGGAAAAGGGGTGGCCGGGGGCAAACAGGAGCCGAGCCAAGGGCGGGGGGCCTAAGCTGGGCGGGGATCCGGGAAGCGCCTCCCGGGCAGGTTCCCTGGCGCCCCCTACATCGAATAACCCCCTGGGCTTCCTCTCTCGGGCTGTCCGGGGGGCACGCACCCCTCCGACGTCCGCCCCAGGCCTGCTCTCAGCCCAGATCCGCCGTAGCCCAGCCTTCCCCGGCCGCACTCACCCCGGAGGAAGCCCTGGCTCCCTCGTCTTCTTCGCCCCTCCAGGCCGGCGACGTGGGGCTGACGGCCAGGGCGCAGGAGGTAGGGCCGAGAGGAGCCCGCTCCCCTCGGACCGCAGTGGAGACCGGGGCCCAGTCCCCAAGCTATAGCTGCAGCGGCAGCAGCTGACCCGGATGCAGAGAGCGACCCCGGCGGAAGTGACTATATCCCGACCTTCTTCAGGCGCGACCGCCGGTAGAGACGGAGGCGTGACGTCTTCTCGGAGCCGCCTCCTCCCTGCCCCGCCCCCTCGGCTGTCGCGGACCCACGTGCGCGCATGCGCCTGGCGGCAGCCCTGCACTCAAACCGGACTAGTGACACTTCCCCTTCTTACACAGGTACTCGGCCCTTGAGTCTCAAAGAGATATTTTTACATTCTTTATGTTGGCTTTAGTGATCATTACAACAATTTCATAGCATAAGATGGGTGAAAATAGGGGAGGAAAAATACCCGAGGCCTCATTTTGGGAAACTAACCCTCAGAAGAAGCCTTAGAGTTTGGTAAAATTCTCGAGGGTGAACACAACGGTGCTTCCCAGACTATATGTAGGGAGGATCAGATTAGTTTTTTGAATTAACAGTTAGTTGTGGACCATGCTCTGGTAAGATAAGATAAAATATTAGACACATTTTATCATTAGAGTCAACAGCCATAAAGTACCTGTAAAATTACCATAAAGTTTTCCAAACGCCTACTCTCAATTTCTGTTCCTGCCTGGCCATTGGTAACAGAAGGGCCCAGCTCCGTGGATCATACTTGGAGTAGCAACGCTGCTCCACAGCTTCAAGGAACTAAGATTAGTTTGGAGAATATAATAATCCCTCTCGGAATTCTTTTTTTTTTTTTTTAAGATTTTATTTATTTATTTGACAGAGACACAGCGAGAGAGCGAACACAAGCAGGGGGAGGGGGAGAGGGAGAAGCAGGCGGGAAGGCTTCCCGATGAGCAGGGAGCCCGACGTGGGACTCGATCCAGGGACTCCAGGATCATGACCTGAGCCGAAGGCAGTCGGCCAACCAACTGAGCCACCCAGGCGCCCCCTCTCGGAATTCTTATCCACTAATCCCGACAAAGGCAGCAGTCAACTTTTGGGGCAATGCATTTTGAGAATGGGGGGAGGGTGCTTGAGGGGAACTGAAAAGCTCAACAAAATTTAAATCATTGACCCGAAATGCAGCTCCCAGTTAACACTGTTTTGGCAACACTGACTGCTGTTGGCAGGGGGTTCAACTCTCTGTTGTCTCATCTATAAAAACAGGGAAAAATAGTATCTACTTCGTGGGGTTTTTGTGAGATAAAGTGCTATTAGAACCGTGCTTGACATATTGTAATCTAGTATGTTTGATACTATTTTCCTCCTATTCTGGCAGTTTTGTTAAATAGCTGGCAGAGAAAACAAAACGGATCAACTGATAAACGGAGCTTTAGCTAAACAACTTCTTGGATCATGCTTATGTAAGCGATTTCATCTTCAGTTACAGATGAATTTCATAGTTCCTTACTTTGGTTTCAGTCCTGCAATGAGGAGCATTCCTCACTAGGTGGCAGCAAATCACTTGAAATCATATACAGTTATGTATTTTTTTCTTGCGATCTTTAGTTTCTTTTTCATTTCAGTAACTTTATTGTTTAATAAGTTTGGTCAATGTTTGCTTTGGTTTTGAATAATCTATTTTATGATTTATCTTTTTATCCCCATCTCATGAATTATCCATACTTATTGTTGAAACATTTGAAACTATAGATAAGACAAAAAAGATAGTTACTACTAATACATTTATGTATATCCTTTCAGGTTTTTGTATACATATAATAATATAAATAGCGCATATATTTTTAAAAGATTTTATTTATTTATTTGACAGAGAGAGAGATAGCGAGAGAGGGAACACAAGCACGAAGCCTGCTTCTCCCTCTCTGGGGGAGGCAGGAAGCAGGCTTCCCGCCCAGCAAGAAGCCCCCAGGACCCTGGGATCATGACCTGAGCCGAAGGCAGACGCTTAACGACTGAGCCACCCAGGCGCCCCAATAGCGCATATGTTTTTATAAAAATGAAATAATGTACCTAATAGTTTATAATCTTTTTTTTTTTTTCATTTAAAAATATATCCTGGGGGTGCCTGGGTGGCTCGGTTAAACCTCCCACTCTTGATCTCAACTCAGGTCTTGATCTCAGGGTCATGAATTCAAGTCCTGCCTTGGGCTCCACTCTGAGTGTGGAGCCTACTTAAAATAAAATAAAAAAATATATATATCCTGAACTCCTTTTTAGGTCAGTAAAAATATATCCTGAACTCCTTTTCGGGTCAGTAAAAATATTTTTTTTTTTAAATTTTCCTCAATGCCATCATTTTTTAAAAAAATTTTATTTATTTATTTGACAGAGAGAGACACAGCGAGAGAGGGAACACAAACAGGGGGAGAGGGAGAGGGAGAAGCAGGCTTCCCGCGGAGCAGGGAGCCTGATGTAGGGCTCCATCCCAGGACTGTGGGATCATGACCTGAGCCGAAGGCAGATGCTTAACCAACTGAGCCACCCAGGTGCCCCTACACCATCATTTTTATCATGGATAATTTATGTATTAACAATTTGTTATTGAACATTTAGGTCGCTCCATTTTTTAATAGTAAAAAACCACACTTCATAGCATCTCCCAAAAGTCAGAAACCTAAGACTGGTTTTTCCAAACAACACACTAGTTATATTTTCAAATAATATGCTCAATATATTTTCTTTCAGCTTTTAGGTGAAATACCTCTAAGCAATGGATCCATTTGTTAGCCTGAAAAAAGTATAATAAAAATAATAAATAAAGTATAATAAAAAAGAGTTTTCCCTGTGTTTACAGATTTTTTGGACAATCTTTAGTATATTTTTACAATCACTTGTTTTCTTCTATGTGTCTCCTTGAATAGGCATATATTTAGAATCTTAAAAATTGGAAAATAATTCAGAAGAAAAAAGTGTGCCTTTAGAACATATCATCTATAAAGTGATACATTTGCTCAGAACCACCATCAACCTTTTCCTTGTGGTTTTGGGCTTTGGTGTTATGTTTAAATAGGCCTCCTCACCCTAAAATTAGACAAGTAGTTATAGTTGCTTATAGTTTCATCTTTTTAAAAAATAAGAGCATTAAATCCAATTGGAATTTTGTATATCTGCTTATGATATGAGGTAGGGAATCTGATTTTGCCAAACTGACAAACTAGTTTGCCTAACATCATTCATTGAATAATCCAGTGATTCCTTAACTTGACTAGGACTCAATCAAATGAAAGTTTACCTTCAAAGATATCTTAAGTGACCCATTCAAGTATCCATTCACAAACGTTTCAACAAACATTTGTATTCCTTCACAAACTCATTGAACAAACTTGCATGGAACATATTGTGAGTTAACACTATCGGGCCCTGAGGGTACAGATAATAAAGACACAGTGTCTGCCCCCTAGGAACTCGCAGACTAGTCCAGGAGAAGGGCAAAGGAACATGGTAAAACAATTTGGTGGATTGAGGTGACACCGGTACTTCCAATGTGCAGCTAAATAGAAGGGAGCTAAACAGCTGGGAGGGGAATGGTGGGAGGTGGGGCCAGTCAAGGAAGACTTTCTGAAGGCGGTGATCTCGGGCTTAGTAATACAAGGAGGATCTTCCAACCAAGAGGGAATGGCATATGCAAATGCACAGAGGCTTCTAGGAACTGCCCCTTGTTCTTCATGACTGGAGCCCCAGCAATGGGAGGATATATGAGTGTGAATGGCCAGTATCAAAAATAAGTCATCAAAGGCCACATGAAAGGGGAAGTTTTTTTATGCTAAGGATTTATTCAGAGCCAATATAATGAGCAACATGGAAAAGCAATCAATTGTTACTTTATAACTGTGCTTCGAAAGAAGAGATAGAAACATGTCCCTCGCAATAACCGCATTATTAGAATAAGTTCTGAGAGAACAACTTGGAAAGAGGCAACACTCATTTGAATATACACTTTGGTATGTGTGTTAAGATCATTCACGTTACTTTGCCATACTTTATACATTAAAACAAAAGCACTTAGCCAAAATAGACTTGAAGATCTGTATCTGCTTCTCACCTACACTGCAACCTTGGATCAGAGAGGTAGGGTGAGAGATGATGAAGAAGACATTTCAGACAACACTAAGAGAATGCTTGTGTAAATTCAAATTTTAGAAGGCGAAATGTACATTAAAGGAAACTCTTGAATAATGCTGCACTCCCCACTGTATAATTTTATAGACAGATTGTTATTCTTGCTTATGAGCATATGAATTCAGTGATGTTTGGCAGCTTGCTCGTAATTTTTGAAAAAAATGTGAAGTATCCTTTTTACATGGGTTGAAGATGTCTTTGCTGGTTGAGCTTGAGGGTAAAACTGGATACAATTATATATTCATTTAATTATTCATAACTTGAGTCTGAAATGCATGTATATATATTTTTCACTTATTCACTTTATAAAATTCGAAACTAAACCCAGCAGCAGTTTTATCTTTGGCATGGTGACAAGTTTTTCAACAATGAACCAGTAAAAGAAATTATTCCAGAGAGAATTTGTGCTTCCCTATTTCAGCAAATCAAATTGGATTGCACACATATATTACACATCACTGTTGCAAGATGCCTCCACATTTCACAGAGCACATAGAGGGAAGCAGCTGCACACATTTTTAAGAAATATTTCCACATGCAGAATTAGATTATGGCCATTCAGGAGGAAAACTAGGCTAATTTGCCAGAGAATTTTAGTCCATGGGACTTTAAGTATTCATCTCATTCAGGGAAATAGGTTATAGGTTGAAGTCATGTGAGAGCAAGAGCTCAGATCTGGAGTGCGCCATGTTTGTTGAAGATGAGAGAGGATGTGCATTTCATTCAACATAAGTTAGAAAAGTCTAGAGCTACCTTAGATTACTCATTAAAACTAATAGTGTGAACAAATCTTAGAGTCCATATTCAAGTCTTCTGTGAAGCTGTTTCTGCAATGTCATGAAAGAATTAACAAATATGAGTTTAAAAGTATCTGAGGGTATACATTTTATCATATAAAAGAACAAAATTTGGCCATATCATAGCATCAATAAATTAGAGATCATGGCTGACATTTGGAAAGAAGATGGACAGAGATCCATCTA